AAAAAAAAAAAGGCACCAGGGAGGCAGGCAGCTCAGGGCACATGGGGACCCTGCTGGATACCATTTCACACTGAAGAAGAAAGGCCATCACTGGGGCAGCCAGAACGGTCTGGTGTTCTCTCTATGTGGCATCCTGAGAGATTATGGTGGCCTGTCCTTAGGCCCAGCTCAGCTATATAGGCGTGAAGGGTATGACTGGACTTAAAAAGAACATACATGGCCTGTGCAGCAGCAGGGCCTGCAGTCCCAGCTACTCGAGAGGCTAAGCCAGGAAGATAGCCTTAAGCCGTGAGCTAAAATGATGCCATTGCACTCCAGCCTAGATGACAAAATAAGATCCCACCTCTAAAAACAAATAATAAAATAAAAATTTAAAAACTATAAACACATGTGGAAGGAACAAAGTGGCCAAATGTTCCATGGGTGAGCCTGGGGTTAAGTGCTTGGAGCCCACACCAGGGTCCTTATCATCTTTCTGGGCTAGGGGTTTGAAAGATGCAGACTCCCAAGTAAGGGCATCTTCTCCCAGGATGCACTGCAGGATTCCAAAGGCAGCCACAATGAGAACTATCTCCCTGCCCCTCACACTGAGGCCACCACAGGCCTCTTGGTACCAGCAGGAGGGCCATGTCCAGCTGGACTGGTGCCAGGCTGGGACTGCAGGACTGTTCCACATGCTACATAGCCTCCCACCCATCTCACAGATCCAGCTCAGGCCCAACACTACCTGCCAGCCAGGACCTGGCTTCCAGCAGCTCATCTGGCATGTCCTCCAGCAGTCGCTGGGCAGGGACACTGAGCAGGACGGAGGAGGTGGCAGACAGCAAGCCCTGGCGCACATAGCTGCTGAGCAAGGGGAGGGAAGGTGAGCCCCACCCTGACCCTGCTCAACACCCCACCCAGCCTACCAGGCATGTTCCTTGTTTGGGAAATGCCAGGCCAAGTTGCCTTCTGGATACCTTGAGGCTCCATGTGGCCTTAATTATCATACCTCTATGACAGTCATTTGTTCCTCCACCCTGCCCCAACCTTTCCGGCCACTTACGTGTCCACATGGAAGCGAAGGGCCCATGTGAACTCCAGCAGGGCCTTGCCCATGGGCACAGCCACCTGGGGACCAGAAGAGGGTAGTAGGCAAGGCTTCCACTCCCTCTACCTCCCAGCAACCACGGGGCCCACTCTGCAGATGAGGGGATATTGTACCACCCTGCAGAGCCTCACACAGCAGCTCCTCCCTCACATGCTCGTCCCTGGAGCCAGGTGAGGCTGGGGTATGTGCTCCAGGCAAGGGACAGGACAGGCCAGTCAGTGCTCAGCAGCTTCGCCTCCCCTCCCAACTCACTGTGGTATTAGCAGCCAGGTACATCAGGGCCCCTAAGGTGTGTGTTAGCCTTCCGAGAACCAACTGGTCATCTCCCAAAAGGTCAAAAGTCAGCAGAGGCCTACAACACAGAATTAAGCAAATGGTACAGTACAGGCACCATGAGGCTGGCTTCTTACTTCCTGGGCCACCAAGGGAGACCCTAGGAAGCTCCATAAGGCCTTACCTACAGAATCCTAACCCAATGTGGCACCAAGAAAGCCACAGGGGAAGGTGTTTCCAGATGCCTGGTCCCTCTGCAGGACTTCCTGACACAGCCCAGCCCTGGGTTGAGAGCTCACAGGCTGGGGCCTCCACCCCTGCTGTACTGGAGCCCAGGCTCAGTCCAGGATTTCCCACTTCCTACAAGCCTCACTCACACCCTACCCACAGGCAGGAGCCAGAGTGAGGGTACATCCACAGGCACATGGAACATCAGTCCCACTGTGAACCCAACATCTGGGAACAGAGTTGGTGATGACTGATAATCTCACTACAGAGCTCAAGGTAGTGGGAACCTTGCAGGATATATTGCATCATTTAATTTAAGCTTACAGAAAACCACGGTAAAGCTCATGACCTCTGTTCACATCTAAAACCCCACTGTACCCCACCCTGGGAAACTCTTGTCCACAGCAGTGTGTCTGCAGTTGCTATTCCCCAAATCCACAGGCCTGTGGAAAATCCACTCACCTGTCGAAGTGCTGAATGAGAGGGAAGAAGAAGTAGCCAGCCACAGAGTTGAATCCATTAGGGCTACCCGCTGCTCCCATCCGGGGAGCACCCTGCCAGCAATACATAGCACTCAGGAGGGGCAAGGGTGGGCGGGAAGCAGCCCCTCCCACTCCTGCAGGTGGGAGAAGCTATGCAGCCCCCAGTCCCATCTCAGTTCCCTTGGGCTGCTAATTGGCTCTGCCCAGTTCCTAGGCCACCTGCAGATGGTGACAGGACTTAGCTCCCATGGCTCAGACCAGGAATCCTCTGGCCTTGTGCATGGAACATCTCGGGCTGGGTAATGGCGGAGGCTGGCCTGCACATTATGTGGGACACTGAACAGCCTCCCTGGCCTCTGCCCACCCCCAGTGACAACCAGAAGTCTCCAGATATCTCCAAACCCCACAGTGGAACAAGACCACGCTTAGCCTAGATGGGCCAGGACGACAGAGCACCCCCAGGTCATGTTTCTGCCTTAGACTCCTGAGACCAGTCTGACTGCCCTATAGCAGTCCCATAGTTTGTACGTTCAAGGCCACCGACATGGCACTGCCCACTCCTTGGAGACAATGCCTGGAGGTAACTGACCACCCATAGTACCCAGGCCCACCAGACTGACCTTGGAGAGCCGCCGAGTCTTACTTCTGATCCGCTCCTCCACCACCACCCGCCAATCAGGAGCTGCAGTGCTGCCAGGCTGGGCAGTGGCCAGTGGCAGCAAGCAACAGGTGCCAGTCCCGGGGTGGCTATGCTGGGGTGCCCTTTTGAGGCGGCCAGGCCGTGACAGCTCCTGGGCAGCCAGGGTCAGTACCTGGAGAAGAGGAGACACCCAGAGCAGCCCCATCACTCTTGGGATATTTCCTAAAAGTCAAGTGTGCCCCAGCCCAAGACCAGGGATGGTGCCCCGTGGCCTTTGTGGTCTGTGAACAACAGAGAAGGCACCTCCAGCATCTCTAAGAAGCTGTGCTTCAGTGGGGGCCCCCTGGGAAGGGACTCAGAGCTCCTAAGATGACCTGAGGTGAGGAGCACCTAGGCCAATGCATCTCCACTGCTCAGAGCTCGCTATCCGTTTGCTCCCTACTTCCAAGAACTCAGTCTCATCATGACTGCCTCCACTGCACTTCCAAGGAGACTGGACACAGGCCACATGCATGTGGCTCTGTTTCCATGGAATATCCCAGACAGGCAAGTCCAGAGACAGGAAACGGAGGTGGGGGGAGCGCTGACAGCACGGGTGCCCTGAGTGACACACACTTAGAAATAGTACTTTTTGATACCTTCTTAGTCTTTTTTGTTTTATTGAGGCAAAATAAAAGATTTAACAATTTAACCATTTTTTTCTTTCTTTCTTTTGGAGACAAAGTCTCACTCTGTCACTTTGGGTAGAAGGCTGTGGCATCACAGCTCAGAGCAACCTCGAACTGTTGGGCTCAAGTGATCTCCCTGCCTCAGCCTCCTAAGTAGCTGGGCCTATCGACACCCACCTCAACAACTGGCTACTTTTTCTATTTTTAGTAGAGATGGGGTTGCTCTTGCTAAGGCTGGTTTCTAACTCATGAACTCAGGCAATCCACCCGCCTCTGCTTCCCAGAGTGCTAGGATTACAGGCATGAGCCACAATGCCTGGCCTATTTTAACATGTACATTTCTACAATGTTAATAAGTTTGTGGTGGGCAACCATCACCAGCACCCACATCCAGAACTTTCTATCTTTCCACCGCTCACTCCATATACCCCCAACCCAGCACCCACTGTCCTGCTGTCTCTATGGATCTGACTACCCTGGACATTTCATACTAAGGATACTGTATGATATGCAGGCCTTCAAAACTGGCTTAAACATAATGTGTTCAAGGTTTATCCATGTTGTAGCATGTGTCAGAATTTCTGGGTTTTTATGGCTCGATAATATCCACAATTTATCCTAAAATGGTGTGTCTATGGCATGTGAATTCTATCAGTAAAACTATTGCTTTAGAGAGACAAAAGAACTCCACCGCCATACCCCTAACTCCACCTCTGCTGAATTCCACCTGCTGTCACATGTGCCAGAGAGAAGCCTGTCAAAGCCTCATGGGTCTAGCAACAAGAAGACTTGTAAATCTTGGCCCTTACATTAGGACAACATGGCTCTGACAAGGGGAACAGAGGCCTGGGGATACTTACATCCAGGATGTCCATCCGCTGCCGGAGGCTGTAGTTCAGGGCGTAGAACTGCGAAGTCAGATACTCAGCTACCTGAGTGTGCACAGGAAGCCACATTGGCTTAGGACTCTACAGGCCAGGTACCACACAGCCAGCCCAGGCACAGGACAGAGCCTCAGCACTGCAGCACCAGGCCTCCCCTGCACCTGCACTGGCCAAGGCATTGGCACTCACCTGAGCTGGATCCGTGACCGTGACAGCTACCAGTGCTCTCTGGCGCAGTCCCTCAAATCCTGCCACACATGTCCTCTCTTCTAGGTGTAACAGCACCTTGGCCAGTTCCACGCTTACCTGCATGTGGGGGTTAGGAATCGGGGTGCCTACAGCCTCTGCCACCTGCCTATGGCTCTAGCAGAGCCTGAGCTGCCCACCCCAGCAGAAGCAGCAGCCACCGAGTCTCACAAGCAAGTCAGACATCACCCTCTGTGACCCAGGGCACAGATGATGGAGGAGGAACGGCAATCATAGGCCTCTGACCTCCTCCACAATCCTCCACCAGCTCACCTCCCGTGTGGCCTCAGGACTCCGGCAGATCAGGCCCTCCAGGGCCCGCAAGGCCGCCTCCCAGCGCTCACTGTCCTCAGACATGGTCAGGGCTGTAGAGAAGCCAGACAGGTCTCAGTCACTTTCATCCCTGATCCTAAGCCCAAAGGAGCTGACAGCCACACGTGGCACCCTGGCTGAGGGCTTCCAGCCAGCCTGGGTGTCAGAACAAGGGCGGTCCAGGGGCTTAGGAGCCCCCAAGGAGAAAGCTGTGGTAAGGCCTGCACTCAGCCTGGCCCACACCCACCTTCCATGCAGTCTCGGACGTAAGCAGGTGCCTTGCTGTTCTTCAGCTCCTTATCTCCAGACATGTCATAGGGGATAAACTCATCATCACTACAGAAGAAACAAAGCACACATGTGGTCATACCTCTGGCTCTTGAGAAGCAGCCCCAAGAGCTGCAGACTAAGTGCCCTCCTCCCTCCTACCAATGCTCAAATTCCTACAAGGGCCCAGCTGTGGGGCCAGAGCTGCATTTACATGTAGGATAAAGAAAGAAGAATGGAGTGGACAGGCCGGGCTCATGGCAGGGCCCTAGCACCACCACACCCAGCACACAGTGGAGGCCAGGGTATCCACCTGCACAAGAGTGAGCAGCTGGGCCCACTGGTCAGGGGAACCCAGCCTTACCTGTCCACCTCTGAGTCAGAGCCCTCCGGCTGTGCCCGGAGAACCTTGCTATCCATGGTCTCTGCAGGGGTCTCTGTAGGGGTCTCTGTTGTGGCTGGAGCCAGAGATGGGCCTCTAGGAAACAACAGCAAACCCTTCAGGGTCCCCTCTTGAACCCTGCTTGTCCTCTGGAAACACTGTCTCACTCCCACCCTCCCTTTAATTCTTGTCCCGGCAACTGGAACCCAAGTGATTAGATGCACACCGACTAAGGACCAGGAGCACAGAGACCCTCACCCTGCCTCTGAGGCACTGTCACCCATCAGCCGGGGGTTGCCCAAGGCCAGCAGCTCCAGGCTCAGTTCATCCTCTTCATACTGCAGGTGCAGACACACAGTCAGCCACAGTGACTAGCATCACCTCCCACGGGGACAAAAGCACAGCCAGCCCTCACAGACCCTTCTCTTCCAGTGACATGGCCTCAGACAGCCAGCTGTCTTTCAAAAACAACTTTTCAAGTGTCCATCTCAGGCTGAGGGCAGCACGAGTGGGGTACTCTGAAGGCCAGAGGAGCCAGGAATCCCTGAGGGGCCCAGCAGATAAGGGGACCAACTCCAGGCATAGGCTCCCTTCAGTGCAAGCCTGAGATCCCTGTCTAGAAAAAAACATCCAGGCAATCTACTCTGGGGGACATGCCTTTAGGTGCTCAACCCTGACCCTGCCTAGCCCCCAGGAAGCCAACATCTACCCCTGCAATGCCCCTCAAGCCTCAGGATGGCCAACCCGGAGGCTCTGAGAGCCTAGTCCCCAGGAAAGTGAAGTAACATGGGGATAGAATGACAGCCTCTCTGGAGACCTGGGCCTGCCACACTGAGGGGGCACAGAGGGGACGGCCCCACTCACCTGGAACTTCAGAGGAGGCCCCTCGGGGTGGAGGTGGGAGCTAACAACCTCAGCTACAATCATGCCCAGGCGGCGCACGGCGGGCAGGCTGCTGTCGAGGCGGCACTTCACACCTGCCATCATGCTGGCTAGCAATTCTGGAAACACCAAATGTGCACCCTGAACACCTTGGGATGCCCAGGACCAAGGGCTCCCAAGCTACCTGCTCACCATCCCGGCTGTCCTGCAGCTCTGGGCCCCCGAGATGTGCCAGGCAGATGAGGATGGCCTTGCTGATGTAGCACTGCTGCGGCAGGGGCGTGTGTCGGATGGCGCTGCTGCTACCCCACGTCTCCAGGAGTTCCTTCAGCACCTGGCAGGGCCACAGTCCAGGACTACATGGGCCTCAGTGACTAGCTCTCCTTGCCAGCACTCATAGCCTCCCAGAGGATGGCTCCAGCACGAGCAAAGCTAGCCCCTCTCTGCCCTTCCTGCCAGAAGATGGACCCTGAACAACCTTTCTCCCAGGTCTCCCAGGGACCCTGTAAGGGAACAGAAGGACAGGAAGTTTACCTGCACAAGGAGTGGGCGCCGCTGACTGTCCATGGCCAGGTACCCCAGCAGGCTCTGCAGCATGGGTGTCTACAACAAAAGCCAGGTGTTGTCTCCTAGGCAGAGCCCACACTCCCACTGCCTCACCTGGGTCTCCCATAAGCTGAGAGCTGTCACCCAAGGCCCAGGGTCAGGCATTTTCTCACTACAGTGGAAAATAAGCACAGCGCTGCCCTGTGCCTCTTGGCAAGTAGGGACCCACTGGGAGGCCGTGCAAATCTGAGTTCTGGCCTCAAAGGGGCCATCCGACTGCATGTGTCAGCTTGGCCACTGAACTTGACTGAGGAAATTTCCCATTTCATCCAAGTTTTCGAGCAGACTGCCATGGAGTTATCTACAATACCACAGGTTTCTGGGCCCCTGCTATGGCAGAAGCCAGGCCCAACACCACAGGTTTGCGCCTTCTCAGCTCATTCAGCTCCTCACCACTGCATTTCCCACTTCAAGACAGCCCACCCCTCACGTGGGCACAGCTTTCTTTCTGGCTTTCCAGAGCTTGTTTTTGGTGTTAGCTCCATTCTCCACTCCTATTTCATGTCACCGCCGTCTTTCTTCCTCACACTGTCTCTAAGGTGACAAATCCCCTCCTGTTAATACACACGCTGCGTATGCTCTCACAAGGAACCACGTCAGCATCAGCACAAGCAGGCCTAAGTCTTCTCCTTGTGACTGTAGTTCTTGTTTGTGCCTCAGGCTACTCAATTTTAAGAGTGTACCGTAAACTGCTGAGTTACTTTCCTTTGCTGCTGCGTTCTAGTCCCACAGCCCTGCCATCCAGGACCATGACTACCAGATGTTCACTTTAGTACCTGTGGGCCTTCTGTAGCCTCCTCCCCTTGGTTTGTTTCTTGCTCCAGGGACTCAAAGACTGTAAACTCAGTCAGGTTCAAGGCCTTAAATGTTCAGCAGGACAACCAGTTGTCCCTTTCTTATGGGCCTGCTGGGGGCTTCTGTTGTCAGCCCCCATTCCTGCAATGGCTGGGCTGTGTAAAACGTGAGATGGGCCAGGCAAAGTGGCTCACACCTGTAATCCCAACACTTTGGGAGGCTGAGACAGGTGGATTGCCTGAGCCCAGGAGTTCAAGACCAGCTTGAGCAAGAACGAGAGCCTATCTCTAAAAAATAACCAGGCGTTATGGCAGGCACCTGTAGTCCCAGCTACTTGGGAGGCTGAGGCAAGAGGATCACTTGAGCCTGAAAGTTTGAGGTTGCTGTAAGCTAAGATGCCATGGCACTGTAGCCAGGGTGACAAAGTGAGACTGTCTCAAAAAATAAAAAACCTGGTTCAGCGCCTGTGGCTCAAGTGGCTAAGGTGCCAGCTGCATACACCTAAGATGGTGGGTTCGAATCCAGCCTGGGCCCGCCAAACAACAATGATGGCTGCAACCAAAAAAAATAGCCAGGCATTGTGGCGGGTGCCTGTGGTCCCAGCTACTTGGTAGGCGGAGATAGGAGACTCGCTTGAGCCCAGGAGTTGGAGGTTGCTGTGAGCTATACTAGGGCACTCTACCCAGGGGGACAGCTTGAGGCTCTGTCTCAAAAATAAATAAATAAATAAATAAATAAAGCTCAAGGTGATATCCACTCTCCAGACTGTCACTGCACTGTGACCAGAGCTTTTGGGGCTCTGCACATAGCAGCCTCACCATGTGGCAGGCAGGTGCAAGAGAGGGCTCTGATTCTCAGGCCCTGCCCCTGCAGTGGCTGGAACTCTAACCCTGCTGCTGCTCCATCACATCACGAAGGTGCCACAGGGATGTGGCTGCCCTTGGCCCTCTCCTCTTCCCCAACCCCTGCTCAGTGCAGCCACATGGCAGGCCCAGCCTCTCCTGCTCAGAGGCCACCCACCCAGACCCTGCCTTTGGGCCACAGAGTGGTTGAGTGGTTGCTACGCAATCTGTGGCCTATAAATGCAGAAGACTATAAACTCAGTCAGGTTCAGAGGCCTCAGATGGTATCCCTTCACAAAGGTCTCCAGTGAGGCCTAGGGCACCTGCTACGGCACACTGTGACATTTGACACACCTATGGCATCTTCCTCCCCCTGTAGCAAACTCCACAAGGAGTGCCTTTGGCTCTTCTGCGCACAGCAGGATGTACAGCACCTAAGAAAGGACTCAGCACACAGTGGGCACCCAATAATTATTTGCTGAGTGAGAAGACAAGTAAGCCATAGGCTGTGGTGTGTGCTGGCTCTGGCCCGTACACCTACCCCACTGCTATGATCACAGCCTGAGACCCCTACCTACCTCTGACCAATCAGCCAACCCTCAAAGGGTCAGAGCCCAGCTCCAGCCCACAGGGACAGTCATATGTCAGGAAGCCCCATGCACAGAGTGGAACTGGTGAGGATAGTCACTGGGGGAGTTGAGAAACATGTGAAGCACTGGCCCAGTCCCAGCCATAGCAGGGCCCATGATAGGGCAAGATGGACCGACCAACTCATTGACTCCTGCAGCCAAATCATAGCAATGCGATCCACTTAGCAAATCATAACAATGTGACCACTGCTCTAAGCCCACTTTCTGTAGCAGGCCTGGGGTGCAGGGAAGCCCTGCATTCTCACCGTGTATCGGTACTGTAAGAACAGAAGCTTCCGGGTCATCACAAACTGGGCTTTTTTATTCTTCACCACCAGGTTCCCCAGTAGTCTCGACAGGACTTCAGGCCTATAGGCAGAGTCGAAGAGCCACTGAACTCACAAACCAGCACCAGAGGTAGTGGGAGGGGAGGGACAAGCATGAACCCAGAGGCCCAGATTAGTTTTGGGCCCTACCACTTAATGGCTGTGAGACTATGGGCCAGTCTTTGGACAAACAGTTAGACCTTAATCCTTCCTTCTCCAGGCCTAAGTGCAGAAACCCCAAGATAGCCTGGACCAAGCTGAGGAATCAACATGGATGAAGTTGTTCTGGCCACGCCCAAGATTAATGCCTCAAATACAACAGGAGGTAGCAAAGCACCAGAAAGTAAATGTTCTGGGTTTTTAGGCCACAGTTTCTGTAGCAACCACTCAATTCTTCTGCTGTAGTGAAAAGCAGCCAGAGACAAATATGTAAATGAAGGAACATGACTGTATGCCAATAAAAGTTTATTTACAAAAACAGCCTAGGGGCCAAATTTGGCCCAAGTAGCTTACAGACCGTTGGTCTAGAATGAGAGAGTCCTACTTCCTTCATAAAATGAAAAGCTATTAACCACCAGGGAGAGCCTGATGAAAGAGATAAGGCTGGATTTCTCCCTCATTCATCACTTTAAATTCCACACAAATACATACACATATAAGTTAAAAAATATAGAAAGAGGCTAGGCACAGTAGCTCATGCCTATAATCCTAGCACTCTGAGAGGCCAAGGCTGGTGGATTGCTTCAGCTTAGGAGTTCGAGACCAGCCTGAGCAAGAGCAAGACCCAGTCTCTACTAAAAATAGAAAAACTAGCCAGGCACA